AATTCTGCACCAAACACCTGCTGCATTTCCTCAGTTCAGATCCCACAGGTTGAGTGAGGGCTCTCCCCAGACTCCACTGTCTATTTTATTTCATTATTTTAAAAAATTTTTTTTGGTACCGGGGATCAAACTCAGGACCTTGTGCTTGTGAGGCAGTGGCTCCCTTGTCTATTTTAGATGCCACTCCTTCTACCTGACCATCTATAAATTGGGGTTTCAGGGCTCAGTGACAAAATGTGGGCTTAGCTTGTGTGAGGCTCTGGGTCCAGTCCCCAGCACCAAAAATAAAAATAAAATAAAACAAACTCATTTGAATTACAGCTTTTTCAGATCTTTTATGTGAAGATTCAACCTTGACTGGGAAAGAATGACTCTCTGAGTGCTGAAACGGGAGTGGGAAGATGCAGATGGCTTTGTGTACCCCAAATCCTCAGCCCTCAGAGGCTTCGCTGTTAGGTCTGCCTAACAACTCAGTCACAGATCCAGCAGAGGCACCACGGGAGGCCCGTCTTGGCAAGACGTGAGGCTCCTCTGATGGGCAACTCCAGCTTCAGGACTCTGAAGGGGCTGATGGGAACTGCCTTTGAACTGTGCTGCGGCCCCAGATCCTCCTCACACCCATTCTGCTTCCTTCCGCAGAGGTCAGACGTGCCTTGCAATAAACAGCTCTGCCTGCCTTTTCCCAACCCTTCTCCTAGCTCACCCTCAAACACCAAATCCCATCACACTGTCTGCTTCTCAACAGACCTGAGCTGATGCGGTTTTCCTCACCAGAGAAATTCTCCCTGCGTGCCATGAGATGAGGCTTTCCCATCTTCATGATGATCCTTGTGGAGATAGTCGTAGGGGGCTGGGAAAGCCTGTTCTCTTAGTCTTCTCTCCTAACCTCCCTCCTTGACCTTGAACCTTATAACCGCTGATGTGCTGGAGACAGGTTGTACCATCTCATAAAAGTCTATCGACAAATTCTCAGGAGGTTAGTGAGCTGGTGGATAAAACAACCATTATTGAAACTTTAATTATTTATACTTACAGCTAAATAAATGATGTGTAAAATAAAAGTAATCACTAAAAAAACCTACCTTTTCCTAGGTACTTGGTATTCATGCCTATTGTATCTGGGTGTGGGAAATACTATATAATGGTATCTTGGCACTTCTTTTTGGATTCTGGAGCCCAGATTTACACTTGACCTTAGACAAAAGGCTGAGAAGTGATGAGAAGGCCAGATTTAGACTTGCTGTTTCAGCTCATTTCTTTAGTAACTTGAGGAGCTGCTGGCTCTGAGCATAGCACGGATCAAGAGACAGCTTCCCAGCTGGCCCAGGAAGCTCTGCCTTGCAAGGCAGCCAGCCCAGTGTGCACACTGCACTAGCTACAGACGTAGCTGCTGAATGGCGCTTTGGTATCCAGAAAGGCAGAGCACAGCACAGCCCCTCAGCATTTTGCAGCCAAGCCAGCTACAAATTCAGTAGCTTATAACTGTTCTTTTATTTTTGGGTTTTTTTTAGACAGGGTCTCACTATGTAGTTGAGAGTGAACTGGAACTCAGTATCTAGCCCAGGCTGGTCTCCAACTCACAGCGATCCTCCTGCCTCAGCCTCCCGAGAGCTGGGATTGCAGGTATGTGCCACCACGCCCAGCTAACTGTTCTCCTTTTGAGAAGCAGATTTGAGCCTCCTGCGGGGCACTAGTAAATACAGCAGGATGACCATGAGCAGCAGATAACCATGTGACAGATACCCATCAGAGATGCAGCAATCTGATCCACAAGCCATATGTCAGCTAACACTTGATGTGTCCGGCTCCATTCCGAGCACTATGCCATGTCCTCTAATCCTCATCACGTTTCTGAGAGACTGTACTCCAGTGACTGAGGTCGTCTCTGTTCTGGACCAGTTTACCCATGGTCACATACCTAACATGTGGCGGAGCTTGGTTAGAACCCAGGCCCCCTGGCTCCAGAATGTTCGTGTTGATTACCGAATTGGATTGCTTCCCACCATCCAGTGGGAGCTCTCTATACAGTGTAAGGTTGGGCCTGCGCAGAAATCGGAGACACGATCAATTGCACGGTGCATCCACTCCTGCCACACTGCTGCTTCTTCCTCAGCCTCCACCTCGGAGAACTCTCTGAGTCCAGCTGAACACAGGGGGACGCGCCCGCCACAAACGGCCAATGACACCCTTCCAGCCCAACTCGAGGTATCTCTGAGGGTTAGCAGAGAAGGGAATATTCTGTAAGGCAGAACTCCCGGTGCTTCTCTTTTACGGTTTTAATGTCCCCACCAAAGCTAATTTTGAGATTTAATCCCCCCTTGTGAGGTTTTTAAGAGGATTAAAAATTAATCTATGATATTTAGAGGTGAGCTGCGGAGGCAGTTAGAGGTCATGAGGATGGGTCCCCAATCCAATGGCACTGTGGTTTCATAAGAGACACCTGAGCTAGTGTGGTCTGTCTCACACGTGATGCCCTACACCACCTGGTGAGTCTTCCTTCAGGAAGAAGATCTTAACAGACAAAGCTCCCAGCCTTTGAACTGTGAGCTGAGTAAAGCTTTATAAATTTCCCAGTCTGTAGTATTCAGTTATAGCAACAGAAGATGAATTAAAACATACTTTGTTGACCGCTACATCTGAAAAGAGAAGTCACCTGCAGTGCAGATATCGCCAGCGAATAGTTAGGAGCTGATGGTATAGCTCAGCAGCCAGGGACTTAGAAGGACCAAGGACACAGGGCTGGTGACAGGGATGTTTGAAGGAAGAGGGAGACAGGGTCATAGCAGCAAGGATCCATGTAGTTCTTTGTGATGCCCCTCCAACGGCCTTCACTGTAGACAAAGCACTCAGTAACCGCGAGAGAAGTTGGCCTATCCTCTGCATGTGTGCCTGCTTCCTCCTCCGTGCTGCAGTGTTGTCCAGTGACCCGGGAGCAAAGTGGCCATTGTAGCAGAATGGCATCATCTTCAAGTTCAGATCCTTGGACCTCCCCTCACCAAAGCTGATCTGGCTACTGCTTCTGCTGAACAACTGATTTTCTAGCAGTTAAGCCAATCTTAAGTCTGATATGTATTAGGCTTGAACATAAGAAAGCTGGGAACAATGTGGCCTGGGAAAGGCATGGATTCTCTACAGCTTACCACTGCCAACATCATTTGCTGCTTGGCACCCAAATGCTTGAAGCACAGATCTAAATCCTAACAGCCTGCCCCAGTGGGCCTGGTAGAACTGGATGCTTCTCCCCAGCCTGCCTGGGTCAGCTCTCCCTTGGGCTTCCAAACCCGTGTGTGTTTTGATGCACTGAAGCTTAGGGAATTTGGGAAATAATGGTCCTGAGATTTCCATCCTGTGTCGTAGAAGGAGGTCACAGTGGTTGCTGAGTGACTTCATTTAAAGAATGCCACAGATCTCCACCATCACTGTGAAAGAAGCCCTAATTCATCTTTACTGGAAGAGCACTTACCCTGGACTTGAATTTGCTGAACTGTCTTAACAAATCTCTGCCCACAATAACACTTAACAGACTCACCAAATGCTTAGTCACCACTGTGGTAGTCCATGCAACATCGGCTCTCACTAAGAAACTAATTTTACAGCAAAAATGATAAAGCAATGGTCTGACACTATGGCGACTCCATCACTCCAAATTGGCCTCTTACAAGGTTCAGTACAGCTCCTCTACAGCCCCAGGGGCAAGACAGCATCTTCTAGAATACAGTCCACTGCCTCCAGGTCCAAAGGCTCTGTTCTCTCAGACTCAACCAAATGCAGATTGAAAAATATTCAAAACAACCGTGTGTCTGTTCTGCACATGTGCAGACTGGTTTTTTTCTTACCACTCTTCCTTAAATACAGTATCATAACTATTTGCATAGATGTTACACTTTATTAAGTATTATAAATAATCTAGAGATGGCTCAAAGTATAAGGGAGGATGTGTGTAGTTATATATGTAGAAACCGGGTCATTTTAAATGAGAGGCCAAGGCAGGAGGATCCCTGAGTCCGAGACCAGCCTGGGCTAGATAGTGAGTTCCAGGTCAGTCTCAACTACACAGTGAGACCCTGTCTCAAAAAACTAAAACCAAACCCAAAAAAAAACAAACCCCCCAAAAACCCTAAATGAGAGGCTTGACTGTCTGTGGCTTTTGGTGTCCCCGGAGGATGCTGGAACCGACTCCACATGATGCCAAGGGACAGCTGTCACACAAGCCCTTGCTCCTATAGCCAGAGTACACAGGGCGAGGACTGAAAACCATGAGATAGCCTCAGGAGGTGCACCTCCTCCAGGGCCACTTATGAAGTTCTTCCTAATCCTCTGGAGTGGGATCTCACAATTTAAAAGCTTGGGAAAACAATAATAGCTCTGTGACTTATTAGCTGAGTTAGCCACCTCATCACTGTGGACTCCTCAAGCTACTTAAAGAACTGGAAACAGAAAGAGTTATCTAGCGTCAAGGAGCAGTGAGTCATCACAAAGGAGTGAGCGCTGAGTCACAGAAGAGTCACGCAACCCAGAGGACCCTGTGTCTAGCATCCAGCTTCGGACCCTGTGTGAGTGCAGGATTAGGTCACACCACCAATCACACACCTGGGGGGATTCGGACCCGGAGTGGCCAAATCCGCACTGGGGCCCAGCAGGGGTGACCCAGGCACAGCACCAAATCACAGAGGCAAATATCTGGTAGCTCCGGGAGTAATATTCATGTATTATGTAATATTATGTAATATTCACAATGATACAAAAACGTGAGAAGATGACATTTGAATACTGATCTCATGGTTGTAAAGTACATAAAATATGGATTAACTGAAGCAGAAAGCTACTGAGAAACACTTATGAGATTAGTTCTTTATACTTAACAGCTGTGATCTACCACGTCAGAGTTACCGCCCACAAAGGACACGTGTCGTAAACCCTATGCAGGGTTTGAAATGTTAGAGAGCAAGAGCCACGAATGTAGTCCACGCTCTCTGCCTACTCATCTCCCTGAGGTTCTTCTATGCTTGAGTCCATTTTAGAGGAGTCTTTTGATACGCACGTTTACCTTCCTTCCCAACGTACACCTTCTCAAGGAACTAAAAAAGTAAAAACAATTGGCAAGCAAAAACCATACAGCCCTCCCCACAGCTGCTGCCACACCCAGATCCAAGTTCTCCCTCTGACACTCGTCCTTACACCGCACAAACCTGCACACTGTCTTCATAAGGTGACTGCATAGCTTTGGAGATGCCCTGACGGGATTCACACTGACCCACATCCATGCCCAGCCAGCCTGGCATGCTGCTCTGCTCTGTTGATAAGACCGGGACCCGTCTGCGTAGCAAGGGAATGAAGCTGTGGGCAATGCATGAGGTGGGTGATCCAACAGCGGATAAAGGGGATGTGTACACAGGTGCGTGTGCTCGTGTGACATCTGTGAATTACACACATATGGTATGTGCATACATTGTGTGTAAAGAAATGAATGTTCACACGTTAATTTAAGTAACGACTGTATGCACATGTGTATATGTGCACTCATGCATCTTGTGTACTGTGAAAGGCTCCCTCTTTTAGTTGAAAACTTACTGATAAAACTATGAGGCTGAGGTGGGTATGGTGGTGCACACCTGTAATCCCAGCACTCTTGGAGGCTGAGGCAGGAGGATGGCAAGTTCAAGCCAGAGCAAACTTAGCAACTTAGCAAGAACCAATCTCAAAATAAAAACGTAAAAAGTGGTGGGACTGTAGCCCAGTGCACAGACCTGGATTCACTCCTCAATACAGGAAAAAAAAAAAAAAAAAAAAAAAAAAAAAAAAAAAAAAAGAAAAGAAAGAAAGAAAAAGAGTCTGAGTAGCAGTGGCCTCAGCACCATCTCTGGAATGAACACAGCTGACAGCACAGTCCGCAGGTCATTTGAGCTCCCCGCTGCCCCAGGCTGAGCCCACGCTCATCAAGAGCAAGGATAAGGGAGAAATCAAAACGGAAAAAGAAGTTGGTTCTGCCACTAAAAATGTTAAGGTAGAAATGGGAGGCGCATGAAGGACAGTAGGACTCTGCACGTGAATTTGCCAGTCAACATGAACCCTGTGAGTTCTCTCAGCCACAGAAACCCAGGGTCTTCTTTGAGGACTGCCCAACCATTTTGGCTGCACTGCTCCAAAGGCCCAGAGGGTCGTGCACAGGGGACTGGGACAAACGTGCGGCTGCAGCTCTGGGCCCAAATGCTCTGGTGTCCAGCCGCAGTGTCAGGGCTGGCCTGGGTGCCCGCTCTAGGCTTCCCGTCTAAGGTCCCTGCCTGCTTGGTCTCCCTCCCAGTTACCTCCAAGGGTAGGCGGGGCTCCCAGGAGAGGGCGGTGGGTGGGCGGGGCTCCCAGGAGAGGGTGGTGCCAACTTTATACTTCAGGGAGAGGAAAGGGGAGCGAAGGGAGGAGGAAAGGAAAGGCTGCAGATCCCCGCAGGAGCAAGTCAGTGAGTGAACTGCTGGTTCCCCTTGAGGCAGAGCTCATGGGACCAGGATAAAGTCGCACACCTCAACTCTTATTTTGTCCTGACCCTGCCACCGTCATTTGCCCTTAGACCTGGAAATCAAGGAAATGTAAAGACTTTCTGGAGAATTACGCATTTGAGTATTGGCCTCTTTCACTGTGGGCCTCTGCTGAGATCAAACCCAATGAAAGTGAGTTAAATAGCAAGAGGGGCAATGCCTCTGACAGCAGCAGAAACCAAACAGGCAGAATAAAAAGGGCAAAAGGCCACATCCTTTCTCTGGGATCCTGTCTCGGGAAAAGCCTGACCTTTCCTCCAACTGTGGTGGATGCCTGTTTTCTTGTGTTTTATTTTGTTTGGTTTGGCACTGGGGAGCACCGAGCTACATTCCCAGGCCTTTTGATTTTTTTTTTCTTTTTTTTCCAGATAAGGAATCACGAAATTGTCCAGGCTGGGCTTGAACTTGCAACCCTCCTGCCTCAGTCTCCTGAGTAGCTGAGTTTACAGGCATGTGCTACTACACCTGGCTGAGAAGTATTCTGATTATGTCAGGGTAGCAACCCCTTCCCTTGGATAACTGCACTCTGAAGCCCTCAGCCGGCCCTCCGAATGACCCTTTACTCACGCTTGGCATGCTGTAGCCCCTGCTTAGAACAAAATCCTTGAAGGCAACTGTTCCAGGAAGGTCTGCAAGGAACGCCTCCTGAACAGGGGTTTAAAGGACGTGTGAAGATATGGTCAGCAGCTCTTCACGAGGAGCATCGTTTTAGAGGACATCCTTCTCATTTTGAACGTGTGTGTAATTAATGTTCACAATGTGGAGGGCATGAAAGCTCTCAACTTTCTCTCCTTTCCAGCCCCTTTCTCACCCTGTATTAGACAATGGTTAACCTTGGAGGACCAGAATGATCTATGTGAAAGCAACGCTACACACACAATTTACAGATCTTAACCTAAAGAGTCTGACCATCAGAGAGACCTGGCCATTGCAGCTTCCTCTCGGTTGGCCAGTACCCTTTTGGTTTTCTCTCACATTAAGCTGAATTTAAAATTTGGATGTATGAATTGGCATAATTGCAATTTAATACCTTACGATCCTTTCACCTTCCAAACTAGATCAGAGAAAATCAGAACTTGAGCTCCCAGCAAAATAGTGCTGCTGACAGTGACTGTCCCCTCCTAGGTCACCTCTGCCTCCATGTCTTGTGAGCTGCAGTGCTGGAGGCTAGGGTGCCACCTAAAGTGCACAGGGGTATTACAAAAAGTCTACTTTACAAAGATCAGTGTAAGCCGCCAGCCTCCCAAGTGCAAGGACCTGTGTTTGATCCCTGGTACCAAAAAAAAAAAAAAAAAAAAAATCAGTGTAAAACAATTCTATTCATGTGAATCCTATGTCTAAACCTCTTAAATTTTTGCAGCTGGGAGTTATGGTACGTGCCTGTATTCCCAACACTCAGGAGACTGAGGCAGAAGGATTGCAAGTTCAAGGCCAGCCTGGTCTACATGGAGAGTTGAAGGCCAGCCTGGACTACATAGTAAGACCTTGCCTTAAAAAAAAAAACAAAAAAACAGAAATTTTATTATAATAGTTATAAGAACCATATTCCCCAAATTTAAATACAGTATTACTTCTTCATTAACTGACTACAACCATTCATTAAATGTAACACATTTACTAGCTTTTGCCATGAAAAAAATGAATTATGTTTTGGAAGTTTCTCTAAGAATTAGTCTTTAAGAATACATTTTTCAAGCCGGGCATGGTGGTACATGCCTGTAATCCCAGCACTTGGGAGGCTGAGGCAGGAGGATCGCTGCAAGTTCGAGACCAGCCTGGGCTACACAATGAGTTCCAGAGCAGTCTGAACTACTAAGTGAGACTGCTCTCAAAAAATAAAAATAAAAACAAAAAAAAGAATACATCTTTCAGAAGAGAACTTCTGGCACTGTAAAGCAAAAGCTTATTACTATTTTTGTTTTTAAGTATTTAATTCAGAAGAAGATGTTTCCTTTTTTTAAGAGTACAACTGAAACAAATTTGTTACATATTAAATTGCCATAAACTTTGGCAGTCCCCAAAACCATACGCTGAGAAATTGTACCAAATATTATCTATATTATTTTGATACTTCTCTAAGCAAGCTGTACTGATAAATTTATGTCAGACCTCGGAGATGAAAATAAGAATTTATATTCAGCACTGGAAAAGACAAATAACCAGCCTCCTGAGTGCTGAGATTACTGTACAAGCATCCACCACATCCCCAGCAAAATGAGCATATCTTTGTTTTGTGTGTGTGTTGCTTTGCAATGTCAGTCTTTAAACCTTTGTCCGTTTCCCGCGACTCTGCTGAAATGTGTAAGAGAAATTTCCCAGTGGCGAGTCTGAATTCTTTGCCCTTCATCCTTGCTGACAGAAAGCGTGACGTCCTATCTATTCTGGACACTGACACGGTCCTCCCAGTGTCCTGTCATTTCAGCTCGCCCTTTGAACAATTACCCTGGGAATGAACTGTCCCGAAATGGTAGGCGTACCATGGACAGTGGTCACATCTTTAGAGACTGACCATGACACCAAGCAATTTGGGTCTTGCTTCTCACAAATTCCATACAATATCACTTGCTTTTCTTATTGCTGAATTCATTATGCAAGCTGTAGGAGGTTGGAGCCCCTGCACCTCCTCAGAGACCCTGGCCATCCTTAGCTGAAGTGATCAGGCCACAGCACATGCACACACCTGTTTCCACGGCTCCTTTTCAAAATGCTCATCTCGAGCTTTACGTGAGACACTGGGGTCAACCAAAGCTTCACCTGCTCCTCGCCTTTTCCACAAGCCGGTGCTCAGGTACCACGCTCCATACTTCATCTTTACCTGCTGCGGGTTGTAAGGACCCTATAGAAATGAGTGGAATTCCTGGTGTGAGTTTTTACCTTTGCCGTTTGGTTTGTCAGTCCAATAAATCCGAGGTTCCATTTAGGAAGGCGGTACCTGCAGGGTGATTCTGTGGCTTGTCCTTGCCAGAGAATATTATGGAGTTTCAGTAAGCTTTTATTTTACAGAAGAAACATGAGAAAAATCATGTCACGGCGAAGAACAAGGCCTTGGGATTAAACAGATCCAGGTTTCAGCCCAGTCTTCCCCCACGTAGCACTTGTGAGTGCATAGTCAAGTTACCCCCACGCTCGACCAGGGAAGTAGGGATGGCAACCAAAGTCACTGCGAAGATGAAAGGAGGAAATCTGTGTGAAGCAGCTAGAAATCAAGCCACAATCACATATTTCACCCAACGATAATGATCCCAAAGGAGAATGAAAGCATAAAATTCTCCAGCCTACTGTCGGCCCAGCACTCTGCCCGGTCTTGTAAGTGCGAGGCCGCTGCTGACCGCCCTGCTCCCTCGCACCAACCTTCTGTCTCTGATCCGAAGAAGGAAGAGGAGCTCTGACTCCTCGTCCCATTCTGCCGTTCCCCAGCAGGGCACGGAAGCCAGCTCACAGCCGTACTGTGCCCAGGACAGCCACCAACTGTGCAGTGGACAGGGCGGAGCATCCTAGAATTGAGTTGGACGCGACTAAGCGGGAGAATATGGCAGGGCCCACTGGAGGGCAATCCCTGCCACAGGGAAATGTTCACGGCTGGACTCGGCCTCCCTGCCCAGGCGCCCTGCCGCCCTTTCAGTCCCCGGGCTCACGCCCACCTCTGCACCTGTCCCCTGTGTTCCTCGTCAGTCCGCTGCTGATAAACTTCCCAACAGGCGCACATGGCTCATCGTTCGCCTGGTCCACATCCGCCTTCCTTAGTGGTTTCCTCCCTCACCATGCTCTCTGCCTTCTTTCCTCCCTCAATTTTTCCTAACCACACATATCACCGTCTGATACGTAATGTGTTTGTTCCTCTGTCTCTTCTCACTGAAATGTAAGCTTCAGAGGTTGTTCCCTGACTATCTCTCTGACATCTAGAACAACACTTAGTATAAAACAGATACTCAATAAGCATTTGCTGAATAAATGCCAGGTTTCTTAATGGCGGCACTATTGACACTGGAGATTAGATCGCTCTTTATGGGCATGGGGGAGACAGGCATTGCAGGACATTTAACAGCATCCTTGACCTCTGCCCACAGGATGCCGGGAGCAACCCAAGTTGTGAGAACCAAAAACGTCACTTCCAAACACGGCCAATTATATACACCCCGGGGGCAGAGAAAGGGGCAAAATCTCCCTCAGCTGAGAACCACTGAATTGAAGGAAGGACAGGAAAGGGAAGGAATCTGACAACGCCACATTGAAGAACTTGAATTCTGAATGTGTCATGTGGTTGGTTAACTGGTCACCTTTGAAGACCCAGCACAAAGCTGGCACTGCCAGCTTTAAAGGCACTGCCTTCACTCCGGGCTTGGTGGAATCAATGATTTCTTCCTTTGCCCCATATACATGTGACATCATTTTGCTATAGTTAACCATTTACCTGGTTATCTGGGGATGGGAGAAGATGAGAGGAAAAAAGGAGAAAGGGAAACAAAAGAGATCAAGATGTGATATGCACATGTACAAATTCCCCACGATAAATGTATTTATCATAGATCACAAGCATTTACTGATAAAATGAAAAGAAGAACATCAAAGTACAGTCCTGAGAGAACTGTGTGAAGAAAAATAAAAATGGAACTTCCACATCCAGAATATAGATTATATTTACCCTCCAAACTACAGCATCTAAAAAATAATGAAAAAAAGAAAAACCATTGGCTTGGAAGACACCGAGGCAGGTAACAGAGACCAGTGAGCTTGAGAGATGAGCAATAAACAAGACAAACTCCCAAACTGGCTCCTGATCACTGCCTTGAGAGAGTTTCCAGGTCACACACAGGGAGGAAGGGTTGAGGAGGAGCCCAGGGGACTCTGAGTTGAGAAGACAGAGCTGAGAATCCAGGGAGATGGAGGCAGGTGAAGTTCACAGCTCAGAGTAAAAGAGAAGGCCAGGGGACCACAGACAGACCCTCTGCATGCTGGGAAGACATTGCCCCAAATCAGGGAAGAACCAATGGAAAGGACTGGACAGAAAGTGCCCAGCATCCCCTCTGAGCCTGATCAGTGCCTTCTTCCTCCAGGAAAACCTACAGATTCACAGGATACTGGGAAGAATACACTTTAGAGTCTTGGCCAGTCATAGGGAATAGTTAGCCCTAGCTGGGACATTACTTTGGTCCCTCCCCTCCAAAAGAATCTAGTACTGGGGATTGAACTCAGGGGCTTTGTATTAAGTTTCACCCCAGCCTTTCAAAAAAATTTTTTTTTCTTTTGGTAAGTCACTAATTTATCTATCCCATCTCAATATGTGGTCCTTCTACCCTAGCCTACTAGAGTGCTGGGCTTACAGCCATGTGCTACCACACCCAGCTCCAGCACATTTTAAAAGCAAGATCCAAAGGGATCAAATTTCAAATAATTTAATCATATCTCAGATCAAACTATGGCGCAGGCCATAGGTAGGATGGACATAATTTCCCCATTCAGTTCCACTGTGCACTTTGACCCTTTAGAAAGATGAGAGGAAAATTAAAAAATGAAAATGCAATACAGTGATGCAATACGTAATTTTCACAAATCTCATGAAACAGAATCAGGGATAGAAAGCACAATACATGTCAAAATAGGTCAGTCAACTGTGTTCAATTGTGAAGGACAAAATTCACTGGGTCCAAAACAATGAAAATATAATATCGAATATTATGGGTAAAAAACAAAGGATAATTAAAAACAATAAACTTATTTTTCAGAAAAGGCCCCACCCCACCCATTCAATTTAGGCACTTGAGTCTGTTGTTAATTCACACAATTTGATACATATATTTATCTGCAGGACACACTTTGTAGAAAAGTAAAAAGGTATTCTAGGGGCCACAGTACTGCCCTTTGACACAGCATGTCATTCCTACTTCCTATTTCTGCTTCCTTGTTTTTCCATCTCCACAGCGAGAACGAAAGGCAACTGCGCAATGTGCTAATGCTCAGGCAAATATGTGGTCAAGGAAGATGGCTTGTGGTCAGTAAGACTGATGGTATTCATCATGATAAATTCTACCGATTGATTAACTCTACCCTGCTCATGAGTAATGAGCATTCACATATATTTCCACTAGTTGTGGGAATTTAAACATATGAAACATAGTAAAGACTGTCCCTGAAAATGAGTATTCAGATATTCACAATAATTCTGAATGGACACGCCTTCTTTGTATAACCTACTTTGTTACATGTGTTAAATGTACGTTCATTCATCAGATGTTTGTTAAGCATGAAAATATTTCAAGAACTCTACTTTAAAAAGTCAGGACCCCTGAAGCACCAGAATTCGGGAATATTGAAGACTTGATTTTTGCAGTGCTAGAGATCCGGGGCCTTGCACATTCTAGGCAAGCGCTACACCCCAACCAAGACCTTCCTACAGCTCTTCCTTGGTTTCCTGCCTGCTCCCGTTCTGCAATCACCTGCGGTCTCTGGCTTTGCCTCTCTTAGTTTGGTTTCTGGAAGGATCCTGCCTCCGGAAGTTTGTTTAGTGCCACCCACTTCTCTAGCCCCAGAGGAACCTGGCTGCGTCTCATGGCTTGGGGTACGTCACTGCTGAGTTTTCTCTGATGGTCAGTGTCAAACTGTTTCCAGATGAACTCTTCACTGATGTTCAAATCTCCCTGGAAAAAAATATCACGGGCATGAATGGAGGAGAAATGGTGAAATGTTCCTTGCTTTCCTCATTTGTGTAAGGAGGCATTTGACCACTGTTGGGGAAGAGGTAGTCAGGCCGAGGCAGCATTTGCTGGAGACAAGTGGTCCCTGGGGACCCCAGGGCTTGTCAATACCTTGTGGACACCTTAGGACCAGCAAGAGCTAGTAAGTCCCTGAGGGAATAAGGTCTGTTTCCTCCAAAGCAAACTTCTCCAGCAGTGACATCCCTAGAGGTATTTTCCAGACATGTCCAGACACGGTATGTTTGTTCTGGCCACAGCCCTGCTGTAGAAGGGAAGCTGCTGAAGCAGGCAGGTGAGGTGTGGTCAGCCACACGCTGTCCCCAGGACGCTGTCTGCAGGACGAGCAGCTGGTGGAGGAGAGATGGGCACATCCACAGAGGTTTATCTACAGCCTGACTGCTACCCTGCCATACTCCACGGAGTTAAAGATAAATCGAGCTCGACAGAATTCCACTTTGGAAAATAAAAATTGGGAAAGATAATGACCTCCACAGAGGTCAGGTGCTAATCCTGGGCACACAACAGCGCGGCTTTATTCGCAAAGAGTCTTTGCAGGTGCGATCCAGTGGGAGTATTTGAGATGGGGAGATTACCCTGGAGTATTCAGGTGGGTCAGATCACAGGCACCCTTGAAAGACACAGAGGATGGCCTGACACACATAGAGCAGAAGGCGATGTGGAGACAGAGAGGACAGATTTACAGCTGCTGGTCTTGGAGACTGGTGTGATATAGCCACAAGCCAAGGGACGGCCACCAGAAGCTGGAGGACAGATTCTCCCCTAGAGCTCCAGAGGGAATGTGGCCCTGCTGACTCTGCTCTTGGCTGGTGACTGGTTGGCTGGTTTTGCAGTGGTGCTGGGGCTAGAGCCCAGAGCCTCACACGTGCTAGGCAGGTGCTTGGCCACTGAGCGGCACCCCTGACTCTGATTTCAGCACAGTAATACTTAGTTTAGACTTCTGGCCTCTTAGCCTCCAACCCTGTGTCAAACTGTTACAGCAGCCAAAGGGAACTAATACAAGCTAACAGAAAAACTCACCGCTGTGTAATTATACAATTATTTTGTGACATAATTTATCCATACACTAATACCATTTGTTCCTTCTATACTTTGTTTTCCCCTTTTCCATAGATAACCCCTTCATCTGTAATTTCTTGCTTAAAATTATTGTAGAGTTGTCCAAGGTAACTGCCCATTGTGAAGGCAGATCCCACATGGATATTTCTCATTCTATCCAGAGCTCTGCTATCATTCTCTCTTCCACACATCATTGAGAACTTGAAAAATACACTAGCACAAAAAGCAAAGACAAAAGCCCAGATGTCATCTTTTATCACTAGCTGCAGCCACTTTGTTGGACGTGGTTTGGGGCTAAGAGGACTGCTAAAGGCAACCCAGAAACTGGTGGACTCCCCACTGGGTCCCCAGCAGGGATGGACAGGGACAGTGTCCTCTAGGGCACAGGAGCAGAACGGTGCTTCCCATGGGTCCCTCACACCCTGTGAAGCAGGGCAGAGTGGAGGTGAGCATGCCCAGTGGCTCTCCCAGATTACCTAGGAGCAGACTGCAAGGCCAGCGTACAGCTCCTGTCCCCTTGGGTGTCACTCTGACAAACACATACAACTGAACACGGTGGGTTCTCTCTTCATCCGCCTCCATACAGGTAACTTCCGTGACTGACGAAGCTCTCACCAAACATACCAACAGGGTCCCCACCTCGTACCACACCGGGCACTGTGGTCAGCCTGTTCTTGGTCCACCCCACTCTTCAGCACCCACTGGGGAGAGCACTTAATTTCCAGAGCCAAATGTGCAGGCCAAATCTATTTCTGTGAAGTATATTTGTCATGCCATTTACGTGATTTAATATGTGTAAACTGGGGATATGAGAATGAGATGCAAAAGAACGATTTTTCTTCTACGTATAACACTTTGGCAAGCTTCAGTAAAGGCTGCATTAGTGGTGTGGTTCATGGCAGAAAACTGAGGGGGACTCCAAGTAGTAGACCCCCAGAAGGCTTAATCTTAGATTAAAAGACTGGTGAGAGCTGGGCATGATGGTGCACACCTGTAATCCCAGTACTCTAGGAGGCTGAGTCAGAAGGGTTTCAAGTTGAAACCCAGTTTGGGCAACCCAGTGAGATCCTATCTCAAAGAGTGGGTGGGGGTGGGGATGTAGCTCAGTGCAAAGTGCAAAGCGCACTATTTCCCACTAACACACACACACGACTAGTAAATGAATGTACATTTATGCTTTAGAATAAATATTTCAAGAGCTTATGTATTATCTTTTATAATTCCTTATATTATTAACTGTGTGTGTGACTACCTAACCGCTGGCTGCACAGTTTCTGCCACAGATAATTCAAGGCTATTACAGTCCTCTTGCCAAATAAGAGTCCTATGGATGCCAATGTTCATGCACCGCTAGATAAATTACTTCTATTTGAGACTTAAGCACTATTCAGAGCAGGACCCAGGGCATCTTTCCTTCCTCCTCAGGAACTTAGTGAATTTTGCTTCTTTAAAATTACTCTAAAAAGCTGGGTATGGTGGTACACGCCTATGATCCTATCATTTGGGAAGCTAAGACAGGAGGATCACAGGTTTGAAGCAAGCCTGGATTACCTATGTCAAAAAACAAAAATCGTAATCCTTAGAAACTTTCATCAGATGACAGCCATGAGCTAAGGGTGAACAGCAGTAGTCTCGGGCCCGGCCACACTTGTTTGGGGCATTTCTTTAAAAGCCTTGCAGGTTCCCCAGTTCCTCTCCTGGTGTTCTGACAGTGAGCCCAAGTGTCCTCCAGCTTCCTCTCAGGATCAAGCACTTCCAGCACCTTTAGTAAGAGCTACAAATAGGAAATGGCTTTAAAAAGGAGGAAAAGCATGCTGGAAGAGGGGCTCCTATTCTAAAACAAGGCAACCAACTTGCCCTTTGTTTCTCCTTTTTGGCGAGCCAAGGCTGTTCATCAGGTTCTGCACTATCTGTGCTGGGGGCTGTAGATGCCTGCCTGCCCGTCACCAGGACAGGGGCAGGCATGTAGACTTTGCGCTGCTGTCCCAGTTCCTGGAGATAGGCCTGCTTTTGCTCCCAGCCTACCTCAGCCCCCAAAGACTCTGCTGTTGGAAAGGCCTTTGTAGGACTGCACAGCAGCCATCCTTTCTCCCACACATAACTCCACCTGGACTTTTCTTTGGACAGGCCCCTCCTTCTCCCTCAGCCATTCTGGTCTGCACTGGCCTGGCCCCATTCCCCACCTGCTGCTTCCTGGAGGCCAGGCCAATTGCAACCACCAGGGCCAGCTTAGGAAAAGGCTCACAAACCAAGCTGAACCCACAAAATCAGGCCATGGGATTCTGCAGGGTTCATGCACCAAGAGGTACATATTGCTAAGTGGGTGGAATTTACATCTTGGTTGGCTGGTGGTCATCTTGGCACCAGGCAAAGAGGTCCTGCCTCAAATAGAAGCCAACATTCCCAGTCAGGGAAGACAGCCATGGAAATAAGAGCCACAGGTCCACACCAGGCTCTGTTCCACGGGAGGTGTGTGGGAACCGTGTCTTTCTCATGGACCCCAACTCTAGCCTGCAGGAAGCAGTTACCAGAAGATAACTGATCACCACTTACCGCTATTCTTCTACAGGTTTCTCTGCCACCGTCACTTATTTATCTCATTCATTACAAAATGTTATTTTCAAAGTCACCAAATGCCAGGCATTACCCCTGTCACAGATGTAGATAAAGTCCTGGCCTCTGGAGAGATTACTTCTTGTGAGGACTCCAGGGGTGTCAGGGGCTATGATGGAGAAACCAGGATGATAAGAGACAGAGGATGAAGGTGGAAGGGAAGTGCTGTCCAGCAGGAAGTGAGGGGGGAGGCCAGCTGCCACTGGGGTTGGTGTTCTGGGCACAAAGGCAGGGGCCTGACCTGGACACCAGGGGCCCGAGGGGCTTCACTGAGTGCAAAGGGGCTTGGAGTGGAGGAGTCACGTGCTCGTATCTGTCTTTCTGTGCACAGCATGGGAATGGCAGGGCCAGTTCCCGCTCTCTCCATGTTGCACTCTTCTCCTAAATCCAACAGAGCCTGGTTTTCTTCAAGGTTGCAGTGCTCAAGTAAGAAGCTCAATTTCACAACTCCCTAGCAGCCCGGAACTCAGATGAAGGTGAGGCTCTGTGGGAAAGCCGTTTTGCCTAATTAAAGATAGCCAGCTGTCACATGCCATTCACGTTTTCCCCTTCCTTCTTCCTGTTTGGAAGACAGACCTGGCATCACTTAGGGACATAAGAAAAAGTGACAGATGCTAGGGACTATGGAGCTGCACGTGAAGTAGACTGGGACCTTGGTAGCATGAAAGGACTGCTGCCCAGCCCTGGCCTTGACAGGCAGTCTTGTGTGCCCTATCATCTGCTAGTGACTTCTTACAGACCCTGCCTAGCCCTAGGCTAAAGGGACTGAAGTAAGACTTAACATTCCTTCTAGCCCCCCAACCAAAAGTTATACCTCAAAGCAGATGGGAAAAGCTGAAGTTCTTAGTTTGCTGTACCTTTGTTTTGTTGGGTTTGGTTTAGGTTGGTTTTTGTTTGTTTTTTGTTGTTTCTTGAGACAGGGTCTCACTATGTAGCCCAGGCTGGCCTCAAACTCATGGCAATCCTCTTGCTCCAACTCCCAAGTGCTGAGGTTACAGATGTGCACCACACACCCAGCTTGCTGTACCTTTGTAAGCCCAGCAACTTCGCAGGAGGCAAACGATGCCCCTTGCCCTTGGGAAGGCATTTGTCTCTTCTCCTAATAAACGTGCCTCCTCAAAGGCTGCCCATGAAGCTCTGCCACAAGCCGGGGACAGTCACCTCTGCAGACAGGGCTTCCTCCAGGTGGGGGGGTGTGGCCAGGCGGGCCCCCACCTGCTCCAGCTTGCAGAAATGGGCTGCTTCCTCGGGAAGCTCACGCTGGCTCTTCTTAGGGGCAGGCCGGGGGGCTCTGCGGTGAATCCAGGGCAGAAAAGGCCCCTGGGGACCCTGAGCAGTGAGACCTCCTGGCCCCTCTCTCAGGAACACCCAGTGCCGGCTGTCCAGGGAGCGCATGGGAGGCAGAGTCTCTCTGCACCTGGAAGACAACACGCAGGGGAAAGGAGTCCAAAGGAAGGAAAGAACAACATAAGGGCCCTGTTAGGCTTTCTGGCAAATCCTGACTGCTGGAGGAAGCAAGTAAGAACGATAGGTGCAGCAAAAGCAAGCAAGGGGCCTTAACTAAGTTAGCCACCCCTCCCCACGCCCAATAAAGTGCAAAGGAGACAAAGGGTAGCCACTTAAAAAGCAAAAGTACATAAAAATACACACATCTGTGCCTCTCACTGGAGGGCTACTTGTATTACTGCACGTATCCATTTAGTCACTACCTCCAAGCAACCTTGTATGCAAGACTCCTCCTAACCTCCCCCATCAACCCCAGATATAAGGCCCTGACAAGGTCAAGCGGGCAAGAGACAGACAAAGCCCACCTAGGAATGTGCATGTGGGCAGTGGTGCCTGGGTTGGGGTCTTGTGTCTTGGGATCCATCTGCGACAGTCCAGAGAGCCAGTCAGGTGGTGACAGGTGTCAGGTAGGAGGATCTTTATCACCTGGAAAAAGGCCAGAGATGAAGGACCCATGGGTATCCCTCACCTCTCACAGGGCAGCTTTCAGTCTCCTGTATTTTTCCTTCTTAGAAATAAAGTATCTTCCCTTTTAAACTCTGTTCCTTTAATTAATTACTGGTCCTCACTTTATGACCTCAGCTGGCTGCAGAGCAGCTGTGTGGTGGGCACCCTGGATGCAACAACAAACAGGACTGTGCTGGAGATGTGGGTGTGAGGAGGCTGCTGCCACTGTCTCAAGGAGAGGGTATGGGAAGAGGGCTCATAGGGGAAGGCTGAGTTAATCATACCCTTGTTCATGGCATGGTAGTTCTAGCTCACTCCTGCTTTCTTTACTCTATTTTACCCCCACCCCCACCTCCGTTGCATCCCTTATGTAGGTGAAACCATGCCCACAAATGTGGATTATGTCCTTCGTTTGCATCATGTTTGAAACATCTGAATTACCCTTTTATGTGCATGTATTCTCAATTTGCATAAACAGATTTAGGACTCTTCCTTGTTTGCTGAGTGTTGTTATGCTTTAGCTAAAGAATGACCCCTAAAACTCTCATGCAATCAGAGGCAGGGCTTTTGAAAGGTAACTGGATCACTGGGGTGCTAAACTCATAGCTAATTGTGCAGTTAGGTCTGGTCTAGAGTCCTGCCACTGCTGGTGTGACCTGGAAGGATTCATCTCCCTGTCCTTTGCCAGTCCCTTCCAACGTGTCATTTTTGCCTTGGGGCCAGCTGACCATGGACTGGAAAAAGGAAGACAAAGGAAGCCTCTCCTAAGTTGCAAATGAGGAAAAGTGACTAAGACACCAAGCATTATATGAAATAAAATAAATACTCATCCATGTCACTATATCTTGGAGATCCATTTAGTATGATTAGAAGCAATGGAGCTGAAGGGGTCACTCTCTTCCCTCCATTTAATTCTAAACAGCACTCTACAGTTATTCCTGCTTCCATTGTACTAAAAGAGGTGGAAAATGAAACAACACAAGTTCAGGAGATCTCTGATGCTCTAGGCAAGAGCACAAGCATGTTGGATCTCCTAGGTTGACCTATCCTACTCCCTCCTCATTACAGGTTCATAAATATGCAGTGCACATAATAAATATAATTAAGATCAAGAATTCTGTGACCAGCGTGGATGCTGAGCCCCTAAGATGACTCAGCACCCTGTCAATCATTCCTGTCAATCACACCTAAGACTCAGTGGGAGGCACCCAAAGCAGGGGAGTCTGGCTTTAAATTACAAAAGCCTCACTTATCCAGGCCTTTCTGTTGCTATTGCTATTTCTGTGTGCTGGTATGTAGAGCTTTTCTGTCACCCTGGCACCTTTTTCCATCTGTGCCCTGTAGAATGGACTTATCCTGAGCACAATTTCCTGTGATCTTCAACAAATGTAGCTGCTGGCTATCTATGACTGGATGTATACTTGGCGGTTCTCTTCTTGTCACGCATAAGAACCTGGATGATTATTGGCCCATTCCACTGTAACACATCCATCTGTAAATTGAATCCACGATTCTAACTACTGCATCCCCATTTCTTTTTACACAATCTCTGAAGTATATTCAAATTGTTGGCCCTCCCAGGGACCCCCTCTTCACTAAAAGGTGAGGCAAAGTGGGAAGGACCTGGGACCAAGACACAGTTTAGTTTCAAACTAGCTCAATGACCTTGGCCTTTATATCATCACTGGGGATCTCAATTACTCCCTAAACTCAGGAGATCAAAGAATGTACAGTGGAGTCCATGGCTATACCAGGCCACAAACCAGGCACTTGGCCCTACCTGTGTTCTACGGAGAACAGTAATAACGGATAGAAGTAGAGGATTTCCATAGAACAGGCACTGTTCGAAGTGCTTTACACGATCAGCATATTTAAATCTTATCATCACCCTAAGAAGCAGGTACAACTAAAAATATCAAAGTACAAAAAAAAAGTGAAAGCAAAACACATCTGTCAAAGTCCACACAGCTAGAAAGTGGTTGAGCTGGAATTTTAGCCAGGTAAGGTGGCCCAAGCTCCTGACATAGTAACAAAATTCACACAAATAATGTACAGCTCCTTTTAAAAAATCAGGACATTTTCCAAGATCTGGGAACTGTAGGTAGGTCCACCTTTCCATGGAACTACACTTGGTATAAAGGCTGCTCAATACACAAATCCTACACTCTCTTCTTTGGTCTCTACCTTTCCTGCTGCCTGCCAGGCAGCCTGCTTTACTCAATTTAGGGAGTTGTGAAAGAGTACTGGACATTTACCACAAAGAAATGAAAAGTTTCCTTTTCTCATTGTTAAGACAAAATACCCTATATCCAGAGTTAAAGGAGGAAAGGTTATTTATTTAGCTCACAGTTTGTAGAGGTTTTAGTTCATAGTTGGCTGGCTCCAAGGCAGGGTGGCACATGGCAGAGGGGCATCACAGAGGAAAAACAGCTCATAGCAGGCAGAAGGTAGCAAGAGACAAGCAGCAAGAGGCAAGCAACAAGCATCAAGACAAGCAAGCACCCTCTTTCATCATCTATTCAGGCTATATGCCCTTAGGGCAGGTAGCACTCAGGCCCAGAGTGGAACACCTTGATCCCAACATCACACAATCAAGATCCAGCTACCTCTGAAAAGCCCCACCTATGACCACCTAAGGCTTTGGGGTGACAGCTACATAACACAGTCTCACAAAAACCTGTACACAAATATTAACAGCGGTTTTACATGTAATAGTGAAAAACTACACCTAAATGTCAACAGGTGAGTGGATAAACAAACCGTCGGACACCCATACCTCAGAACACTGCCAGGCAACAAAAATGAGCAAGGGAGATACACACAACCTGGACTGCTCTCAGAAACATTGTGATGAGTGAAAAAGAACCAATACCAAAAAGGGCTATACATTACATTATCTGATTTAGATCACATTCTTAAAAGAATTATAGAAATGGAAGACATTTGTGAGTAGGGGTGGGCAAAGGGGTGGCAGAAAAGGAAAAGGACAAAGTGGTTTCCTTGTGGTCAGGGAGCAATTTTGCATCCTGAAGTAGACAGATGATGAAATTTTACAGAACTCTGTGTAAACTCGCAGGAGCACAATTAACAGCTGATGAAATCCACAGGTCTATGTTATATACTATATACTATACTAATTACTGTAACGTCAGTTTTCTGGTTCAGTAACAGACTATCCTAATGTAAAATGGTACCAACTGAAGAAGCTGCAGAAAGGGTTACAGGATCACTGAACTTTTTTTTGCAACTTCTTGTGCGCCTACAATTCTTTCAAAACAGAAGGTTGTTTAACATGGGAGAAAAACAAATTTCCAGAGTCCTTAATTGCTCACATGAATACAGTGCACGCTATTGACACAGTCAGAGACCTCCCTGGGGACAGAGGACCAACACATTCCAGGGCCCTTGGCCAGTTACTCATTGAAAGCATGATTTGTGTTTTCTTCTGCTGGAACTGGAACTGCCCCTCAAGCAAGGTGGATTCTTTAGGAGCTAAAAACCAGGACAGAGCTAAAGCGAGCAGACCCCAGCCAACCCGGACGGAAAGCTGGGAGGCAGGCGGGCCAGCCTGAGGGTCGGCTTACACCTGTGCTCTCCGAGCTCCAGGCCGAAGGGCTCTCGTGTTAGGAAGCCGGCTTGATTTCGGTGGGCGCTGTGTCCCCACTCTTTTTCTGTTACTTTCCTATTAAAGCTTTTTCCTGCAAACTCCTGCTTCACAGGTGCTACCTCGCCTACTCCTCCCAGCAATCCTATCGAGCAGATTCCTTTCACAGTCCAGAAAGGTGAACCTGGAAGAAGGGACTCAGATGCTAAAGTCACTAGACGGGGGGGGGGCCAGGCCTTCGGCTCCAGCCGCAGG